CGGATACAGGCCTAGGCGGTCGTAGTAGAAAATGGTGATGCTCTGGTTCACAAACCCTTCATTGGGCGAGGCCTCCACATCAAAAGCCTTCAGGTCCAGCGGCACCTTGTGGCGTGGGCCACAGTCCTGTGTGGGTACATCCCAGGCTACCACAAAGGGCCGGCCTGTGAAGATGGGTGGCACTGTGGGCTTCAGCTCCATGGCCCACGCCACTGCCAGCACCAGGGCCAGGGTGACGGTGGGGCCTAGGCCTGCCGGCATGCTGGGAACTGCAGGAAACCCAGCGGCTCAGGAACTGAAAGCAGGGTAGGAGAAAACAAGTCAGTTTAGAGAATCCTGTGGGTGCCCTCCTTCAGCCCCTCTATGTTCTCACAGCCCAGGTGCGAGGGGCACTGTGCTCAAGCCTGCTCAGTTCCCGCACAGCTCTAACAGGTTTGCAAGACCCCAGGTCACTGAAAGGCGGGCAAGACAACCTGGGGACAGCCGGGAGTGGTGGCGCATGCCTGTAATCCCAGCACTCGGGGGCTGAGGCAGGAGGATCGTTCCGAGTTCGAGACCAGCCTAGGCTACAAAGTGAGCTCAAGGCCAGCCTGAACTGCATAGCGAGACCCTGTCTCAAAGAGCAAAAAAAAAAAAAAGACAACATGGGGACTCACTACCAGGAGTACAGAGTTCCTTCTTGGAGCAGGCAGCCTGTGGCTGGGCAAGAACTGGTTAGGTCTGAGACCCTTCCGAGAACTGATGAACCAGGCTACGGACCTGCTACGAGAGCCACCCATACGCCTGCTGACCCTCCAGTACACGGTTTCCGAGAGGTCCACAGTGCGAGCCCCACCCTGTACCCCGCGAGGAGCCCCTGATCTCAAGTAGCAAGCGCACTTGGATAAAGCAGGCACAACTCATACTGCGCGGCTGGAAGGACGGCCGCAGAGCTGCTCCCCGTGCAACACTGCCCGGGCTCAGTGTGGCGCGCGACGCTGTCCCGGAGTTAGAGACCGCCAGAGGGGACGGAGGGCAGCCGACCTCCCACGGCGCAGCCGGCGAGCCGCCCGCCTTCGCCGCCTCGGCCAGCCG